TAGAAATATTTGACAAATTTCCTCGTGAGATCAATAACATACTCTTTATTAGTATATAACTTGATCGACATTTATACTTACGTGATTAATCAATTGTTTCGAAACAATTACAGGCATCACATCAAAGTAAATGCCGTATATTCTTAATACTTATGAGCTGTTTGATTGTGTGTAAATGAAATGTAGAAATTTTATTTTTCTATTAAAATATCATATGATTTTTATAAGCTCGATATACTTATTTTTAGTTATATAGTATTTCATTACAAAAATGAATCAAAATAATACATGATAGAATATATTTAATGTTTTATGAAATTACCACTTCCAGAATCATATAATATATCATTCTGCATATTTCTCATAACAAGTACTCATAAAAATTGTTGTTTCAATGAAAAGGGGTAAAACAAATTTACAGCTAAAGTCAAAAGTCAACTTCTAGAATTAGCAAAAGATGAATGTGGAGAACTTCAAAGGAAATAATTCTCGTGCGGGTCTCCTACAAACCACATGTAATACCAATAGGAAGATTTACATCCATACCATTTAATTCCTATATATATTTACATATTTAACGTATAAATTTCAATTTTTACATGTATGTCACTTTACTCATGCATGAAAATATGTATTTCACCTTTTAAATATTAAGATGGTTATATTTTTTAAGTGATTTGAAATATTTAGATGATATAAATGTTAAAGGTAAAGTTTCAATGTTAGATTTGTAAATACATAAGAATTGGATGGTATGCATGTAAAAATTTACTTTTTATATTTATATTGCCCAAAATCGGAAAAAATTTGCGTGCGTCTTAGCGCTGTGTACATAATGAAGGTTATATGTGTTTTATATCGGCATTATATTCACGTTATATCTCTTATAACATCCATATAACTTCCATGTAACCTACAGACATGTGAAAACAGAAGTGCATAACTTATTTGTAAGTTTAGGTAGGTTACAAGTAGGCTATATAGAGATTACATGGAAGTTACAAGAGATATAACGCGAATATAATAACCTCAATTATGTATGCAGCGCTGCGTACATCTTACATACGCATATTTTTCCCCCAAAATAACTTATATCACATAAAAAATCACTCTTTTAACATTTAGAATGTGAACTGCACCATTTCATGTATAGTTAAACTGGACAGGCTCTTTATTCGTATATAACTTGATCGACATTTATACTTACATGATTAATCAATTGTTTCATGACAATTACATGGATCACATCAAAGTAAATGCTGTATATTCTTAATACTTATGAGTTGTTTGATTCTGTGTAAATGAAATGTAGAAATTTTATTTTTCTATTAAAACATCATATAATTTTTATAAGCTCGATATACTTAGTTTTAGTTATATAGTATTTCATTATAAAAATGAAACAAAATAATACATTATAGAATATATTTAATGTTTTATCAAAATTTCCACTTCCAGAATCATAGAATATATCATTCTGCATAATTCTCATAACAAGTACTCATAAAAATTGTTGTTTCAATGAAAAGAGGTAAAACAAATTTACAGCTAAGTCAAAAGTCAACTTCTAGAATTAGCAAAAGATAAATGTGGAGAACTTCAAAGGAAATAATTCTCATGCGGGTCTCCTACAAACCACATGTAATACCAATAGGAAGATTTACATCCATACCATTTAATTCCTATATATATTTACATATTTAACATATAAATTTCAATTTTTACATGTATGTCACTTTACTCATGCATGAAAAATATGTATTTCGCCTTTTAAAAATTAAGATGATTGTATTTTTTATGTGATTTGAAATATTTAGATGATATAAATGTTAAAGGTAAAGTTTCAATGTTAGATTTGTAAATTCATAAGAATTGGATGGTGTGCATGTAAAAATTTACTTTTTACATTTATACTACCCAAAATCAGTACATAATGGAGGTTATATGGGTGTTATATCGACATTATATTCACGTTATATCCCTTATAACATTCATATAACCGACATGTAACTTACATCTAACCTACAGACATGTGAAAACAGAAGTGCATAACTTATTTTTAAGTTCAGGTAGGTTACAGATAGGCTATATAGAGATTATACAGAGATTACAAGGAATATAACGCGAATATAATGTCGATGTAACGACCATATAACTTCCATTATGTACGCAGCACTGCGTACGTCTTACGTACGCATATTTTTCCCCCCAAAATCACTCATATCACATCAAAAATCACTCTTTAACATTTAAAATGTGAACTGCACCATTTCATGTATAGTTAAACTGGCATGCATGTAAAAAATTGAAATTTGAGTGTTGGATGTGTAAATACATAGGAATTGAGTGGTAGGTATGTAAATGTTCATAAAATAAATAAATTATTAGACATTCAGAAGCATATGCAAATTAGAAAGCAGAAAGAAAGCCGTATTAAAATAGCAAAATTATCATGTAATTTCATAAACATGTAACAACATCATGACACAAAAATGTTCTAAGAAATCCACAATTATTTCCACATAAATAAACATGTCATTAAGCAAAAAGATTAAAAAAAATCCTGCCATTTTTTAGGCATAAAACATACAATATAATTGATTTTTATCATAATTCATCATATGATCAACAAGTATTTAACCAATCAGCAACTTGTTCTCGTCCAAGAAAGTGTATGTAGGAACTTCCAAATTATACGGCGCCGGTCCCTTCCGAATCCTCCCAGAAATATCATAATGTGATCCATGGCAAGGGCAGAACCAGCCACCAAAATCACCAGCATTAGGCAGAGGGATGCAGCCCAGATGAGTGCACACACCCACCACAACAAGCCACTCAGGATTCTTCACCCTCGCAACATCTTCCTCGGGATCGCGCAGCGAAGTGACATCCACGCTGTTAGCCAGCTTGATATCGTTCTCGGTTCGACGCCTTATGAAGACCGGCTTTCCACGCCATTTCACGGTTACCGTTGAACCTGGCTCGATGCTGGAGAGGTCAACCTCTAGAGAAGCCAAGGCGAGGACGTCTTTGCTCGCCGACATGCTTAGCACGAACTTTAGAATGAACAGACGGAGTAACGAGGCGTATACGAATCGTCCGCCGGTTAGGACGAAATAGGCAAAAGCTCGCTTGCTGGGATCTCCGGGGGGATATCGTTCATGATTGTATTCGTCGTAGAGGATTTGTGAGGTCGGGTTCTTTAGAGCAGCGGTGGTGGGAGGGTGATCGGATAAGCCCACATCTTGATGTCTGGGGACTAGAGATTCAGTTGAGAATCCTGCAGGAAGCCTCAAGAAATAGAAGAGAATGAGTTTGGGATGAAGGAAAAAGATTTCTCATCTGCAGCCTGTTAGGATAACAAAAACTAACATCGAGAAGACGATAGATAAAAGCTGGTAAATACATGATAGAGTACAACAACAACAACAGAGCCTTCATCCCACTATGTGGGATCGGCTACATGAATCTTTTTTCTCGGTTGCATCCTATTTAGTGTCATATTTTCATTTAGTTCTAATAAATTAAGATAATTTTTTGTACAATAAGCCCAAGTCTTCCTAGGTCTGACTCTGACTTTCTTAACATAAGTTGAATCTAAAACATCTGCTCTCCTAATTGGATCATCAGAAGGTCGATGTTTAATGTGACCAAACCATCTAAGACGACTTTCTCTAATTTTGTCCGTCACTGGAGTTACACCAACCCTATCACGAATATACTCACGTCTAATGTGACCAAACCATCTAAAAATTATATTATGAAGTATGTTAAAAACAATCTAAATACATGATAGTAAATGTCAAAAATGATCCCTGGTTTTTTTAGGTGTATTCTAATCCCAGACTCTATTGTTAAATTTAATACCTCAACTCCATAAATTTTAGGGAGATTTACGCACACTACTCTTATGTATTTATATATTTAACACCTAAGCGTTCGTATGTACATGCATGCAGCTTGAATCTTTAACATTATATAAAAAATATTATCATCACCATCTTTTACAAATGAAATGTACATTTTCATACATCGATTTACGACACTAAATTATTACAAGTGTAAATATGAAACCATGGGTGTTAGATATGTAAATACATAAAAATTGTGT